AAGTGGAGTCTCTCTCTCTCCTTTCAGATCATCATGTGGGTTGCTTCTCTCTGCCACACTCTTCTGTCATGATGTTCAGCCTAACTTCAAGCCCCAAGGAATGGAGTTGGCTGACTATGGATTGAGACCTCGGAAACCGTGAGCCACCAAATAAATTTTTCCTTCTCTACACTTGTGCTGGTTGGTCTTTTAGTCACATCTGTAGAAAAGCTGACTAAAATGATGATCAAGTTTTCTGTATTCAGAGTTGCAATAATCCCTAATGGGGGGAGATGGCCTTGGGCAGGTGGAGGTGGAGTGAATGGAAGGGAGCTGGACTAATGGAAATAGGGACCTCTCCAAGTCTGCCCCTCACTTGCTGAGTGACAACAGTAAGTTCTCCGAACCTCTGGCTCCCCATCTACAAGATACATATATAGGTCAGTGGTCTCCAAGGTTCTTTCTTGGTCTTAATTTTTTGTATCTGGGTTCCTATACCTGGCACTGTGCTAGGTATACAGCAGGCATTAATAAATGTGGCATTTGATGAGTGTTTTCTATGAATTAATACATACTGGGGCTGGGGTTGTAGCTCAGCTGTAGAGCACTCGCCTAGAATGTGCGAGGCCCTGGGTTCAATCCTCAGCACCATATAAAAGTAAATAAATAAAAATAAAGATTTTTTTAAAGCTATTTTTTAAAAAATACATACTGAGGGGAGAAAACTGTTACTGATGAGAACTTTGAGCCTTCCCATTCTCTTGCAGAGGGAGGCCTCCACCCTAGGGTGGGATTCACTCATTAGCTCTCCAGACTTGCAGCACAATCCTGAGGTCCCAACTCCGATTTCCTCCTTCCAGTATAACAAACTTCTCTTGCAACTTAGCTCCATCCTGAAATTCGCCAAGAGACCCCAACTCTTTCTGTGAAAACAAACTGGCTTGTAGTTCTAGGCTGCCCTATTTGATGCTGGAATGGGACCTCATCTCTATGTTACCTACAGGAGTGATGGTGGCAGAGACCACCTGTGAGTCCAAGATGCTCAAGATCCTGATGGCAAGAATGATTTGGACAAAAGGGTGGTCCAGGGCTGGTGTTGTGGCTCAGCAGCAGAGTGCTTGCCTAGTGTGTGTGAGGCACTGGGTTCAATCCTCAGAAACACATAAAAATAAATTAAAATATTTGTGCCCATCTACAATTATTAAAAAAAAAAAAAAAGTGGTCTAGGCCTTTGCCTTTTGTGGAGCTTCTCTCCAGTGGAGCTTCCCTACATGGGCTTTCATGCAACTCACTAACTCACTGTACTTTAAGTTCTTGAAAAGAACAGACTCAATTCGAAGATAGCAAAAGTTGGACACTCATACGGTTCTTCCTTCTGTTCAAAGGTCGATTCTCCTCATATTCAGAGCTCTCACTCTTGAACTTATTTCTGTCTCTCCAAGAAACTGTCCCCATCCTCTGCCCCAGCTGACAATCTGCAGGTCTCAAATGGAAGGGCACTTCTTCAAATGGGTCTTCCCTACCCTCTAATCTAAACTAGGTGTCCTGCAGTATTCTTTTTTAGAGGTTTTTTTTTTTTTTTCCCAGTATTGGAGATTGAACCTGGAGTGCTCTGCCATTGACTACATCCCCTTATTTTTTTATTTTGAGGCAGGGTCTTAATAAATTGCCCAGGTTGACCTTGAATTTGTAATCCTCCTGCCTCAGCCTCCTGAGTCACTAGGATTATAGACATGTGCCACTGTGTCCAGCTGTCCTTTAAAGGTCTTTGTGGTTGGTTTTCCAAAATGGTACTCATTTTCATGGATCTTTCTTTCTTTCTCCATGTGTTTATTGCAGATCTCCTCTGTCATGTCATGGGATCATGTCTTTTTCATCACGTAACCCCAATACCTGGTCATTTTTCATTTCTTAGTTCTATTTTTTTTTGGAACTGAGGATTGAACCCAGGGGTGTTTACCACTGAGCTACATCCCCATCCCTTTTTTACTTTTCATTTTGAGATAGGGTCTCACTAAATTGCTGAAGGCCTCATTAAGTTGCTGAGGCTGGCCTTAAGCTTGTGATTCTCCAACCTCAAATTGTTGGGATTATAGGCATGTTCCACCATGCCCAGCCTTCTTACAGTCCTTATCATTTATTTCTGGTATTAATATAGTATCAGCTTTCTTTTGACTAGTATTATCCAGGCACATCTTTTTCTGTGTCCATTTTATTTTATTTTCTCTCCCTTTTTTCTCTGTGTCTATTTTAGATGTTTCTGTTACAAATAGTATATAGTTTGATTTTGTTTTAATCCAGACTAACAATCTTTGTCTTTTATCTTCCTAATCCTTCCTAAATTAGTTCATTCCCATTTATTATGGTTATATATAGTTGGCTATATTTCTACCTTATTTTATGTTTTATAGTTATCTTGTGGGTTTTTTTTTTTTTCTTTTTTTTTAAGGGATAGTCAGATGGGCACAGTGGTGCATACCTGTAATCCCAAAAATTTGGAAAGTTGAAACAGGAAGATTGCAAGTTGAAGGCCAGCATGGGCAAATTAGTAAGACACTGTTTCAAAATTAAATAATTTGCTGTTGTCATTAACATATTCTAGAAAATGTGAATTAAATCACATGTTTCTGCCAGATGTGGTGGTACACGCTAGTAATCCCAGCAGTTTGGGAGGCTGAGGCAGGAGAATTGCAAGTTCAAGGCCAGGCTCAGCAATTTAGCAAGGTCCTAAGCAACTTATCAAGACCCTGTCTCAAACTCAAAAATACAAAAAGGCTGGGGATGTAGTTCAGTGGTGGTACTGGGAAACCCTACTGCCAATAAAATATATGTTTATGAAAAAAATAAAGGGGTAGGAATATCTGTCTATGTTGTCCACACTGGCTTCAAATCCCTGGGCTCAAGTCATTCTCTTGCCTCCGCCCTTTAGACTAAAGATACACTCCACCAGGTCCAGCTAATTTTCTCTCTTTTCATTTGGACTTTTTTTTTTTTTCTCTCATTTTGTTGCTTTCTTCTAGTACTTTGAAAGTTATATACTCTATTTCTAGTCTTTTAGTAACTATCCTATAATGCTTAACAAGTCTCCTTTTTTTTTTTTTCTTTTGGTACCAGGGATTAAACCCAAGGATCCTTAACCACTAAGCCACATCCCTAGCCCTTTTATATATATATATATATATGTATTTAGAAACAGGTCTCCCGGAGTTGCTGAGGCTGGCTTTGAATTTGCAGTCCTCCTGCCTCAACCTCCTGAGCTATTGGGATTCCAGGTGTGCACCCCTGTGCCTGGAGCTGTTTGTATTTTGTCCAGCTTTTCTAGTGATCCTGGCAGGATGGTTGTTCTGCTCCAAACTAGTCCAACGCAGCCAGAGGCAGAAGTCCTTACCTTCCTCAACTCAGTTTCCTAAAAATTTCATGTTGTTGATGTGAGGCTGCAGTGGGAACTCCAATTAGAAAACTGAGGGCTTCAGATTTTTTAAAAATTATTATTATGATTAAATATATATAATAATTAAACAATAAGGAAACAAATAACCCAATCAACAAATGGGCCAAGGACCTGAACAGACACTTCTCAGAGGAGGACATACAATCAATCAACAAGTACATGAAAAAATGCTCACCATCTCTAGCAGTCAGAGAAATGCAAATCAAAACCACCCTAAGATACCATCTCACTCCAGTAAGATTGGCAGCCATTATGAAGTCAAACAACAACAACTGCTGGCGAGGATGTGGGGAAAAGGGTACACTTGTACATTGCTGGTGGGACTGCAAATTGGTGCAGCCAATTTGGAAAGCAGTATGGAGATTTCTTGGAAAGCTGGGAATGGAACCACCATTTGACCCAGCTATTCCCCTTCTCGGTCTATTCCCTAAAGACCTAAAAAGAGCATGCTACAGGGACACTGTTACATCGATGTTCATAGCAGCACAATTCACAATATCAAGACTGTGGAACCAACCTAGATGCCCTTCAATAGACGAATGGATTAAAAAAATGTGGCATTTATACACAATGGAGTATTACTCTGCATTAAAAAATGACAAAATCATAGAATTTGCAGGGAAATGGATGGCATTAGAGCAGATTATGCTAAGTGAAGCTAGCCAATCCCTAAAAAACAAATGCCAAATGTCTTCTTTGATATAAGGAGAGTAACTAAGAACAGAGTAGGGAAGAAGAGCATGAGAAGAAGATTAACATTAAACAGGGATGAGAGGTGGGAGGGAAAGGGAGAGAGAAGGGAAATTGCATGGAAATGGAAGGAGACCCTCAGGGTTATACAAAATTACATACAAGAGGAAGTGAGGGGAAAGGGAAAAAAAGGGGGGGGGGAGAAATGAATTACAGTAGATGGGGTAGAGAGAGAAGAGGGGAGGGGAGGGGGGATAGTAGAGGATAGGAAAGGCAGCAGAATACAACAGACACTAGTATGGCAATATGTAAATCAATGGATGTGTAACTGATGTGATTCTGCAATCTGTATACGGGGTAAAAATGGGAGTTCATAACCCACTTGAATCAAAGTGTGAAATATGATATATCAAGAACTATGTAATGTTTTGAACCAACAATAAAAATTAAAAAAAAAAAATGTAAATGAGAACAATTATCTTACAGACACACATAGTCTGAAAGAGTCCCTTCTGCCCTGTTCCCAGAGATGTGTATGAACAGGAATACCTCGTTTCCCCCACCAACTGTGCCTTCCACAGAGCTCAAGAGGTAAGACAGTAGTCTTACTGTAGTTTTAACAATGAGTTTATACCTATAGCAATTCCCAACTACATGCAGCTATGTTTTCAACCAACCTCTAAAGACAGATGCAAACAATGATAGGTTGCTATTTCCTTTACCTAGAAAAGGCTTATCTGATTACTTGAAGTCAAAGGCATAACACAACCACTGACACGTACCAATAATCATTTTATAGGCAGGCAGGCAGCCAACATTGATTCCCATTGCTCATTCTTTGTCCCAAATCTAATTTACAGACATTTCACTTCTATATTCATTTCTCAAAACAAACTTACTGATTGGCTTTTTGGAGTTCTCGCTGTTTCTGCAGATTGGTGTCCACGTACTTGAGCACTCTGCTCTCTGGAACCCATTCATCCCAACTGAAAAGGAATAAAAATATTATTCAAAAACATTTTCATGATGATTCAGACTCTATCCTCCAATTAATTTTTAAAGATCCAAGAGGCAAGCCCTTGGATTTCTGAAATAATGGGATATGGTACTACAAATCCATTCTCAACTAAAATGAAAATCTATTTAAAGTTGTCTTGTAAAGAAGGAAAACTTCATATTCTGAGAAGCAGCATTCCAAATTTAAACTGCCAGAATTTAAAAGATTATTCAAATCAGTTTTAGAAATAGCTAAAGACTGTCTAAGCAATTAGCCTATGGGACGAAAATATCTTAAAATTTTTCAACTGCCAAAGATGAAACAGAAGTTCATAATAGGGGCTGGGGATACAGCTCAGTTAGTAGAGTGCTTGTCTACCATGCACAAAGCCCTGTATTCAATCCCTAGCACACACACACAAAAAAGTTCATAATAAATTGACCTAAACAAAGAAACAAACAAAAAACCCTACTTATGTGTAATAACTAAATTACAAGCTCTCTGACTTATTTTCACCACCTGTAAAATGGGGGATAATTAGATATTAAGTACCTATATCTCATAGGGTTATTATGACAATGCATGCAAAATACTTCAGTATCCCTGACAAGAAACCAAACACAGTATGTCAGAAACACATTAGAAACTCTACCAACACTCACCATCTAGATTACTCAAGTAAGTTTGTACATTAAAGTATTACTATGATTTACCAGATTATACCACTCTATTTTCATTCACTCACATATGAATACACAAATTTCCAAGGCTGACCAGAGGACTTTTTTTGAACACTAAAAGGTAGAACAGAATCACTCTATTATAATGTTGACAAGGCATTCTGGCACTTCTGCTGGTGTTCATATAAGGACAATATTTCTTAGGGAATGATGAACTTTTTGAACAAAGTGAGCCTTTTCTCCTGCTGATGGAGCTCCTTTAGTGACACAATTAGGTGTGTTCTCAAAGCAATATCTTTAACAATTTCCCACCTCTGACCTCTTATAGAATATAGCCAAAGGAAAAATAAATAAAAAGCAATCCTCAACACCATTCCTAGAGAAAACTTTAAAACATGCATTTACCTAGAGGTCAGGAGGGGGTGGTGTACTGAGGGAGCTCCTTCAGGAACAGGAAAAAGGGCTACAATATCCTCACGTGTCTTCAAAGTTTTTTCAGAGCGCCTGGGCCTCACAGCACTTCTGATACAGATAGCATAGTACAAAGTAATCTCAGTAACTAGGTGCAGAATTTAGCTTAAGCTTTATTAAGTAAGACTCATTTACAAATGGAATATTTAAATGTCTGTGTCAATAAATTCCAATAAGATTTTTGAAAATTTAGATATATCTTAGTATTCTATTGTGCTTGTGAAAGTATACATAAACTAAAATTTAAGAAAATTTCAATTTGGGGATTGAAGTTTTGTGGAATTATTTTTTAAGAGAGTCTACAAACCATTTTAAAATGAAAAATCTTTTTTTTAAAGTATACATTTACATCTATTTCAATTCTCCATAAATCAAAGGGAGCTAATTGTTATTTGACATACACTTTAGAGACTTACAGATCGCTTCCCCCAAAATGTATGCAGTGAACACACCTTGATGTAAAAGCCAAGTCATACTAGTTCCCTTTATAGGTTAAGAGCTGAAAATCCTTGCCAAAATCAAGGAAAATGAAATGGACAACATCCTCTGCTCTGAGGAGTACCTTCACAAGAATAACAAAATGGAGGCCAAACACACACAAAAATTTTTTAGGTCAAGCATAAAAGAATCTCAGAATTTTCTAAGGTAGCTTGTGACTAATTCTCAAAGCCACAATTCATGAGCAGAATATAAAAAGTATTAAAAAGACAACATACTGCTGGGCATTTGATTAACTCCTCTACCTTTCAAAGTGGATTTAAGAGTTTCCACCTTCTTCCTAAAGATCAATTTTTTTTTTCAAAATTATGTTTATATACCAAATTCAACCACAAAAAATACATCTCCAATACATTATATCTTCAATAGACCTATGGAGACACGGAGAAAAAAAGCCTAATATCTATTGCGGGGAGTGGGAGCGAGGGAGAAGTGATGGAAATGGGAGAACAGTAGAATGAATCAGACATAATTTTCCTGTGTTCACATATGAATACACAACCAGTGTAACTCCATATCATGTACAACTCAAAAATGGGAAGTTATGCTCCACGTATATGTATGATGTCAAAATACATTCTACTGTCATGTATAACTAAAAAGAAAGAAAAAACCAACAACAACAACAACAAAAAAAAAAAACTGACATATAATGACATTTCTTTAAATTTCCTGAAGTGTTGGGGGGGGGCATCTACAGAAACCAACCATTCATTTATTTCTGGACTATAATCCATCAAATGGGAAAAATGATTGTTTTTTTAAACAGTGAAGTCAGGAAATACAAGTATTTGGTATTTTCACGATCTCTGAGGAAGTACAAAAGCCACTTAAAATCCAGTCATTGAACTATACACATCTATGTGTAATTTTATACAGAATACTTTATTTTATATATACTTTATTGTATATTATATATGAAAAAGAGTCAACCACAAAAATCATTCACAGCTATTAAAGTCAAATCCTAAACAGTTCTTTAAAAGTGTGAGAGGTTGGGCACTGGGGTTGTGGCTCAGTGGTAGAGTGCTCGCCTGGCATGCATAAGACACTGGGTTCAATCCTCAGCACCACATAAAAGTAAAATAAAGATATTGTGTCCACCTAAAACTAAAAAAATAATTTTTTTTTTTTTAAAAAGTGCAAGAGGTTGTGCTGGGTTTGTGGCTCGGTGATCAAGTGCTTGTATAGCACATGTGAGGCACTGGGTTTGACCCTCAGCACCACATTAAAAAAATAAGTAAAATAAAGGTATTATGTCTACCTACAAGCAAAAAAAAAAAAAGCTGAGAGGTAGGGAAAAGTAGGTCTACCCATAAATTTGCTTTGCTTTTGATTTCTTGAATGGACTTTGAACTTTCCCGCACTCACAATATGCATATTTTCTTTCCCACAGAGAATGGGAATACTCAATTTAACTGAGTATCAGTAGAATAACAAAATATGTAACTGAAAACTAAAATGCATTTTTAACACTTCATTTTTTTAAATGGAGAGAAAGCTATGATACACCAGGATTAAGATGAATTTTTCTGTTTCTGCATATCAATCTAAAATCAGTTTACATTCTAAAACACCAAAAGACAGTTTTCTCCATTATTTTCCTAATTTCTCAGTATTTTAAATAAAAAATCAATAAGATCACTCAAGTAATAATATTGCCTACTTATTATTAGAAGCTCTTTATCATTACCATGAGAGAATTTTCTATGCTAACTAAAACTTTCTCATTTAATACAGTAGGTTACATGTGTAATTTGTGCATTAATGTATGTAAATCATATTCCACTAAAATAAAACACACATTCTCATTTAAAAAAAGAAAACTCAAAAAGTTATCAGAACGTACATTCATGCATATTAGATTTCTACCTTTCCACAGCTGTACCAATGGAAGTTAAAGGTCTAATATGTTAACAAAGAATATTTAACATATAAAAAATTTTTCCTAATGAAATAAATTTAGCTGGGCACAGTGATACATGCCTATGATTCCAGTGACTCAGGAGGCTGAGGCAAGAGAACCCAAAAGTCAACATCAGCCTCAGCAACTTAGGAAGACTCCATTTCAAAATATTTAAGTGTTTGCTCCTGCAGCACATATACTAAAAAATACTAGAATATAGGAAGTTAACATGACCCCTGCCCAAGAATGATACACAAATTTGTGAAGCATTCCATGTTTTTTTAAAAATATTTATTTATTTATTTATTTTAGGTGTGGATGGACACAACACAATGCCTTTATTTTTATGTGGTGCTGAGGATCGAACCTGGGTCCCACCCACGCTACACGAGTGCTCTACTGCTGAGCCACAATCCCTGCCCATATTCCATGTTTTTTAAAAAAATAAACAAAATAAAAATTTAAATAAGCAACAGGTATAGCTTTGTGGTGGGGAAGGGTGCTGGGTTGGTCACCTGGAGAGAAGACTGTATAAAAGATCAAAGTCAATGTGCCAATAAATTCAGTAGAAATTTTCCAAAGCAACAGCACCATGCCTGGGTCAGATGACGCAAAGCATTAAGTTACTAGAAACAATTCCTAAATAACTAGTTCCTGGTTAGTTATGTTATTTTTGAAGCAAAGAACATCATTAATAAAAGTAATTAAAAACCTCTCATAGTAAAAATTACAAAAGGCCCAAATAAATTTATTAAGATGAAATTATTTGTGGGCCTCACGATATTTCTAAACCTCACAAAAATGGGTTGATCAATTCTGTCACATTTTCAAACCAACTTTTATACTATTTCCTTTTTCACACAGAAAAACCCAACTAGTTCGGAGTCTAACTGCTTGAAATATACATATAGTCATTGGGTTGATGCTAAGGCCAAAAAAGGTACCCCAAAATGTACCAAACTGTAAAAAAATGGGCTGCTTCCACTCATCATTCAACCACTATTTGACACCACACTAGAATCTAAGACATTCTTCCAAAACTCACATACATTATAAAATAAAATGGTTACCAGTGCACACCTATAATCTCAGCTAATGAGGCTGAGATGGGAGGATGATCAAGGTCAAGGTCAGCCTTGACATTTATCAAGACCCTGTCTCAAAACAAAAAGGGTTGGGATGTAGGTCAGAACTAGCATGTTCCTGGGTTTAATCCTCCAGTACTGCAAATAAACAAATGAAATGAAAGGCCTAGTAACTCTCATTTCTAATAGTTTCTTCATATTACAAATGGCTTACCCTTGCTTCAAAACATACTATATTACATTAAGACATCACAAAAATTGCTTTTAAAAATCTAATACTCACTTTTTATTCCAACCACTGTAATGTATAAAGTATTTCACTTGTTTGTCCTTTATGGCAACCTTCACGCACTGAAATGAAAAAAAGACAAATTCACTTAGAAATATTAAGAAACAAGAGACGCTTCCTAAATAACTTTGAAGTATCCAATCTTTCAAGGACAACTACACAAAATTTTTGACCAACAAAATTAACAAAAATTGACTCTAAACACTAAGATTTTAAAGAACTTGAGTTACAAAATTGTAAATTTCGTTGATCAATAGGCCCATTGCATAAAAGGTTACCTCAAAATTTAAAATTAATGAGCTAGGTAAGCAAGGTAAGCTATCCAAGCACAGCTAATGAAAGCTGTAATTGGGCTTTAAAAAAAAAAAAACTGTATTCAGGAACTTCCTTCATTTCAAAATGATTTGATTAGCTTATGAAAGGCGATATACTGATTTGTTTCAAAAAACAGCTCTTAAATTCCTTCAAAAAAATCAAATCAAAACCAATTATTAAAGTCATTAACTCTGACAAGTGATGATTATCTGGTTTTGGTTTTAAAAGTGTTCAAAAGGAAGTCAAACAAACCACAATTAAGTTAATTCAATAGCCATTTAAAAAGTTATTTGCTAGAAGTGTTTTATTGCCAGAGAGAAAACCCAACCAGTTTAAAGTTGAATTATCATTAGTTCCTAAAACAGAAATAACACTCAAAATATCAATCTTTAACAGGATTAGTAATTTTATAAACATATTATCTATTCATTCAAAACACAAATAACAAAAAGTGAAAATGGTTAGCAAAGAACTGACAATTTATAATTATGCTAAGAATATTTTCACAAAGATAAACTATTCACCAGATATTTATGTAGAAATGGCCTTTGAACATCATACTATTTTGTATTTTATAATGTGCATAGGTTCCCCCCCCCCCTCGGTTTTGGTGGTAATGGGATTCAACCCAGGGCCTTGAGTATGCTAGACAAACACTCTTAATACTGAGTTACATCAGCAACCCTATGGTTCAACTTTTAAAACTACTGCTATAAAAAGTACACTAAAGTGTTTAAATGTGTGTCTTGTACTGCAGCTGTAGCTCAGTGGTAGAGTAGGCTTAGCACAAGCAAGGCCCTGGGTTCAATCCCCTACTAATTTGTTAGTACCAAAAATTTGTACTTAAAAAAAAAAAAAGTTATCAGAAGCCCAGGTACAGCTCAAGCCTGTGATCCCAATTGCTCAGGAGGACTGAAAGTCTGACATCAGCCTCAGCAACTTACCAAAACTGTCTCAAAATAAAAAGGGATGGGTATGTAGCTCACTGGTTAAGTGCCGCTGGGTTTAATTCAATTCCCAGTATCAAAAAAATAAAAAAAGGAAGTTATCAGAAAGGAAACATTTTTGGACTGCGTACAATGGTACATGCCTTAATCCCAGCCACTCAGAAGGGTAAGGCAGAAAGATCCCAAGTTGTAGGCCTGCCTGGGCAATTTAGGGAAATGGCATCTCAAAACAAAACCTGCAGGGGGCTGGGGATATAGCTCAGCTGGTAAGAGTGCTTGCCTTGCATTGCATAAAGCCCTGGGTTCAAGCCTCAGCACCACACACACACACACACACACACACACACACACACAACAACAACAACAAAAAAAACCCTGCCTTCCTCCCCCCTTCACACAAAAAAGTGTGAGGATGTGTAGCACAATAATAGAGTGCTGGCCCAGCATACACAATCCTGAGCACCACAAAAATAAATTAATTAAACAAAATGCATTATTTACCTTTGGCTAAATGTACTATACTGGTTTTTATAACCTGAGCACACAATGATCAAGGAGGGAGCACACCTGCCAGGTTTTAAAAGTAGCCAGTGCACCAACAAGTATATTGTTTTTAGTATTTTTCAGTTACCTTTAACACTAAACAATCAGCTCAATTTTTATAAAACAATCAGCTCAATCCTTACTCAGCAGATTATATTTGCATATAAAAGTAACTGGCAGCCCTCCCTTATTAACTACAAAATACTATTTCCTTCCACAACCAACCTTCACTTTCTATCATTTTCCTCAAATGCTACTTTACCTAAAGAATCTTCTGTAAGTTAGGTAAGATACCATGAGTAAGAATGTTTTAATTTGTTTGACCCACTAAGTAGTAAGAAACCCAGAACAAAAAAAGGGGGGGAGGTGCAATCTATGAAAAAAAAAGCAACTCTCCTACTGAACCCAACAAAGAAAACACTGAAATTTGATATTAGAAGTCAGATTTAACCAATAGTTTTGGCCAACTTCTCAAAAGGAAGATTTCATACCTTTGCTTCATAAAGGAGAGGCCCATGAAAGCACAGCACTCGCTCACCTGTAAAAGTGAAAAGTATTGCATTAATTCTAAACCCTTTCCATATATAGATTCAAATCTGAGAACCATCACATTTTATTATAATCCTAGCAATATTAGGAAAAATGGGTAAAGCACAGGGCATATAAAATTCAGATTAAACTTCACCATAAGTTTATGCCAGGGCATATAAAATAAACCAAAACAATTAGTGTTAGCAATTTATTTAAATCATCAACCGCTAAGCAAATAATTATTTACTGTAGCTACCTATTGAGAAGGATGATTAATTTATTCTAACAGTATTATCCAGAAATCCAGGGTTTTGTTTTGAAGTTATATATATCTTATTTATTTTTATGTGCTGCTGAGGATGGAACCCAGTGCCTCACACATACTAGGCAAGCGTTCAACCACTGAGCTACAACTCCAGCCCCAGGAATCCAATTTTTAAAATGCTTTTTTATGTATTTTTGTAAGTTTTAGGAATTTAAACTTCCACCTACATCTCTACTTCCTATGCTTTTACTTAGCAAAATATTCTACATATTGAAATTTCAATGTGCATGCAAGTTGGCTGGAATTTTAAGGCATCAGCTATCTGTGTTCATTCCTCAAATATGTTCAATAATGTACAATGAACAAAACAATAGACAAAAAAAATCCTCACCTTTAGAACTTACACTATATATTGAGCTCATCATTAGAATAATAAAACCATACCAAATCTCAAGAGTGCTATTGGATGAGACATCTCATCTCTATGATAAAACAAATCATGCAGGCAATTTCTGGTAATTGCCTCAGATTACACTTGGTATGTAACAAAGATCTCACACAATTTTCTGTCCATTTGGTTTCAACACATCCAGAGGCAATTAAAGTATTCAACAGGGTCAAACTGCTTTAGCTGTAAAAACTGAAATAACCTACTAGACCAATTCTAGTTAACTATAGGTTCCACCATTTTAAAATTACATGGTATTGCTTTTAAAGCATAGCTTTAAAAGAAAAACATGATTTATGGATATACCTTCAACCTGAAATAGTTAATTCCACAGCGTATCTTAATATTTCTCAATACAGTTATCTGGGTTTGTATGCGACCTATTGTGCAAGGCACTGACAGATTAATAAAGGACCCTCACACCTAGACAAATAGGTTTGTACAATTTCCTGGATTTCATGCAGTAACTACCTTCATAAGTAATAGAGAGAATGCCTATTGAGCTACTTGGGAGAGTCACAAAGAAGGAAGATAGTGTAAACAATTCGTACAAAAGCACTGAAGTGTTAACCACTATCAGAAATACTTTGCAGTTCACTACCCCTGGAGCACAGGATAAACATGTGAAAGTCACAGAGACTATGAAATATGAAACATCATATAGGTCATGCTATGAAGTCTAAATTTCATCCTACAAAAGAATTCCCAAAATTAATCAAAGATCTTTTAGAGTATTCTTCAACTATGAATTTAATTTCAAGCCTCACCAGAGACAGAATCTCTTATTAGACTCTGCAATAACTTTCTCTTTTAAATCAAAATTCTCATAAAATCTTTGTGCAATTCCTCTTTGAAGAATTACTGCTACAGGCTACTGGGCCTATATCCAGCTTGAATTTTAAGGTGATTACAGATTAGTCAAAAACTTCTCCAACATCCCAAGGACAAGAACCAAAATGGGTAAACTACTCTACTAATAAACAGTAGCACCATAGATCATATATGGATCTCGTTTCACTTTCCGATATATTTTCTTTCTTTTTTAATATTTTTATTTTTTAGTTATTGGCGGACACAACATCTTTGTTTGTATGTGATGCTGAGGATTGAACCCCGGCCGCACGAATGCCAGGCGAGCGCGCTACCGCTTGAGCCACATCCCCAGCCCTCCAGATATATTTTCAAGGCGTTCTGAAATACCATACTTTTTTAAAAAAATCTTGACTGCTGATACCAAAACTACTGCACTGAGGCCCTCTTGGATCTCTAGTTACCTATCCATAATATTTAGTTGAAAAAACATAACAGCTACCTGAAGAGTATAAACCATGATTTAAAAAGAAAGAAAGAAAAAAGCCTATTTTTCTTGGCAATGGACAAAAAGATTGGGGAACCAGCAACCCACTGTTATCAGATAGGAAACTTTCTCCACCCTAAATGTTTTCTAATATCAAACTACAAAGGTAATTCTGCCCAAATGCTGTCAAATTCAAAGTTTTCCATTCTCCCACTGGTTGGTACTTTCCTGACAGAGTCAGTCTTCCCTCAAACAATGACTAGATGTCCACGATTTTGTTTTATCCCATTGGGGGGGTGGCGGGGTGGGTACTGTGGATTGAACCCAAGGGCGCTTTACCACTGAGCTACATCCCAAACCCTTTCACTTTGAGATAGGGTCTCACTTCAGTGCCCAGACCTGCTTTCAACTTGCCATCCTTCTGTCTCAGGCTACAAAGTCACTGGGAGTGGCTGGGATTACAGGCCTGTGACACTGTGCTATCCTATGCTTTAACAGAACTTCAAGTAGAAGACCAAGTTCTGTGCAAAAAAGTCACTCTGCTTAAACTGCTAATGGAAAATACATTTTACCGTGTAAGAAAAAACTTCTGCATTTATAAGAATTTGGGGGGAGAGGGGCTGGGGTTGTAGCTAAGGGTAGAATGTTTGCCTTACATACAAAAGGCCCTGGGTTCGGTCCTCAGCACCACATAAATAAAAAAATAAAAAAATTAAAAGAATTGGGGGGGGGGGCATTTTATGACAACTCTTATTTCTACTCTTCTACAGCATTTCAAGATAATCTTGTTAGCACTAAATATTTTTTCAAAATATTCTCTTAACATCTTAAAATTTCTCAAAGGTGATACAACTCAGCTTCGAAATTCAAGTGAAAACATACCTGGAAAATAACTGTAAATGTAGAAAACCTTAAATAGCTTTCACAATCTTGCCCAGGGGTGTCTTTGTTCCTACTCTTCTCCAATTATACAACTATAACCAGCACAGGGATTCTGGTTAGCTGTTATTCTCCACCTCACTCTAACATCCTGCTAGAACTAAAGCACTTCCTTCCTCCAAAATGGACACCCTTGACTGCCCCTCCAGAGGGATTCTGCGATTAAGTTTTTGTACTGATAGCCTGGTGAAGCTTTATGACCTCTCAGAATATTTTAATAAACACATAAAACACACCAAATTACAAAAGAAAACAACTGTTGAAGCTGTTTTCAAAGCTATTTTAAACATTGCTTTCTCTAATATTAGGGAGTCCCTTATTTAATGCAGTAAACAAGATTTAACTGCTAAGCCAATTAACTACCATAATTTTGAAGCAATGAGCATAAATAACATCTTAATAATAAGCCAGGTGTGGCAGCACATGCCTGTAATCCCAGCAACTAGGGAAGATGAGGCAGGAGGATTCCAAGTTCCACATCAGCCTCAGCAACTTAAAAAAAAAAAAAAAAATTTAAAGGATATGTAACTCAGTGGTGGTAAAGGGCCCCTGGGTTCCATATCCAGTACCAAAAACAATAGCTTCATATATTTTTCAGGTAACAGTGAAACATAAAAACGAACAGCTAATACTTCTGTTTTCTTTTGTGAGGATGTAAATTGATAATTGAAATAATAAATTTCAGCTAGATGATAAACACAATATTTTCCCCATTCAAGTTCACATTCCATTTTCATTATATCCACTGACTAGTGGTAAAGCGCTTGCTTGGCATATGTGAGGCCCTGGGTTCAAAACCAAGTACCATTTAAAAAACAAACAAAAACAAAAACCTTGTTCTGAATCACCTAGAAGAATAAAGAAATCTATAAAAAGTCAGTTTACCCAAATGAGAGAAACAGATATTAATGGCCACCTATCACCGAAAACACCCCCTGAAACCCCTTAAATACACCATAGTTTCAATATACTTGTTTGGGTTTTATGATTCGTGGAAGTAATTTCAACGCATTAAAAATCTGAAAACTCTGGGCTTGGGTTCAGCCATAGAGCGCTCACTTAGCACGTGTGAGGCCCTGGGTTCGATTCCCAGCACCACATAAAATAAATAAATAAATAAAACAAAGGGGTTGTGTTCAACTACAACTAAAAACTAAAATATATATATCAAAAACTTTTCAAAAATCTTAAATGAGAAAATTATGCAAGCGTTTGGACATGGAACTTATGGTAACTGGCATGTACATCCATAGAGAAACGCAGTTCCTCTTTGCCTACAGTTTTACTTCCTTTTCAGTTTAATCTTAAATCTCCACCCAAATAGATGGGCTGGAAGCACTGGAAGAGTGATCTTCACTGGAAGTCAGATTCTAACGTCAGTAAATCCAAAATAATAATCAATAAGCTTTCCAATTATTGTGAATCAAATATTACTGCAACTGGTCAAACTGCTGTATTTTTTTAAAAAATCACGTTAAGACCAGGGACTTAGCCCTTAACACTTAAGTCGCTTTTAATTATTTTTTTACGAGCGACCGCACAGGAAGAGCGCACTCACTTTACCGTAGGATTTAGGCGCGGTGCTCTCGGGTAAGCTAAAATGATGCCTTCGGGCAACACCAAACTGACGGAAACGCCCTACCCGCTCCTCGGGATTTTTTTCCCCCTTAATCCCCACCCACCACTGAGGTAAACGTTAGCACCGGGTCTGCGCGAGGTCGCCGTGCAAGGGGGCGCTGCATCTGCCCTGAAGCGGCGCCGGCGCACGGCGCCGAGACGCCAGCGGCCATGATGGCGCGGCCATCTTGCAGCGGCCATTTTACAACGCAGTTCTCCCGCCCCGGGGCGCCAAACCAACCCCCACGCTCCACAACAACATGGAGACCGAACGTTTCAACCATGCCGAGGAGGGTTGAGGGTACTCTAGACGGCCCGGGACCGCCAGCCGTTGCTGACCACGAGGCCAGGCAACCGGCGCGAGCTCGCAAAACAGGCGCCGCTCCCCCCCACACACCGCCACATCACTTCCCCTAACCGCCGCCATCGCGCCCCAGTCGCCTCCCTACAATAGGCTGCTTTCTCCGCGCCCTCTTCCTCAGAACAATAACATGCACGAAGGCCTTGCCACGCGCTAAGCGCTCCCTCTCCACTCCGAAGCCCTAGCTATGCTTTCGCTTCACAGAACATTTTTTCCAGATGACGCACTACAACTCACCCTCTGCAATGCGCTTTCCCCGCACAAAGCAAAGCCCGCCACCTTCTCTGGGCGCGGCTCGCGCTTCGCCCGGCCCGCAAGCCTCGACCGTCCCGAGCCCGCCTCCCTCCCCTGCGCCGTTAGATGCCTTTTCCCAAGGGCACAGACTCACCCTCCTGGAATTTCGGCTTCGGGTCCTGCTTGGGCGCCATTTATAAGTGATTCGCCGCCTCCTCCTTCTCCCACCACCCCCGACTACCGCCCCCTACTCTCTACCCCACCCAACTTCGCGTCAGACGCGCCGTCAGGCACAGCCAGCTCTACATCCTGGGCCCGATTTGCCAGCGCCCGTAGACCTCACAACACAGCGACCTGCGCATCCGCCGCTCCAGCCAACGGCTGCCCGCCGCGCACGCGCCTCTGCGCCCGTGCTGTCCCGGGGCACGCCGGGATGCGTAGTTCCGAGTTCGTTGACGTGCAGCCGGGGGAGGGGCGGGCGCCCCTCCTCCACCTCGAGTCGCCCCTCCACCTCGAGTCGCGGGCTTGTTGGAGCCCAGAGCTGATTGTGTGCGTCGTTAGGGCGGGGTGGGGGTAGGGTGAGTGAGGCACTAGACCCTCCAGGACGAAAGAACGGTAAAGACCCGGTGCGCGTCCCCGGAACAAAATAAAGCCACACAGACTTGGGTGTTGAAGTGGCCAGAGAGAACAGGGCGGCCTCTCGGCGGTGTCTCCGTGGGGCAGCTTTAGCGGCAGTGATGAGGCCTGCCTCTGGAACGTTCGTTGTACGGGAAGCCCACCCCCTGGCTCTTTAGGGGGCTTGTGGCCATTTGTTGGTTCCTGCGTCTCCCTCACCCTAGTGCTCACCGGAAGAGGCCATCGTGCATGGTGCCAAGGTCCGGGCTCCGTACCTGGCGGGTCGGCCCCCTATTTTGCCATCCTGTCTATCTGAGATGTACACACAATGCAAACAGGTTTCTTTATGTTGTTCCCCTGATCACAACCCCCCAGTTGGCTCTGCTGCAAAATAACAGGCCGTTTCCTCCGTGTATTACAAGCAAAGGCTTAGCACTGTGCCAACAGGGAGTAAACACCAGACTTGAGTTGGGAATTTAAGTGCTTTCACAGCCCCCTACTTACATACCTGCTTTACACAGGTATTGTCTCTGGGGCTTTTCTAAACCTGCCGCCCCGCCCCCCCCCCCCAGCCCTGCGTGACTGTGCTTGCCTGTAATCCCAGAGGCTCCAGAGGCTGAGGCAGGAGGACCAAAATGGGAGGCCAGCCTCAGCAATTTAGCAAGGCCCTAAGCAACTTAGACCTTGCCTTAAAATAAAAAGGGTTGGGAATGGAACACTGAGGTAAAGTACCTCTGGGTTCAATTCCCAGTACCAAAACAACAAAAACCTTCCCCTGAAGGGGAGAATGTTTGCACCCTCCCATTTCGGATGCCTCTCCATTTTTGACACTAATTTCTTCTTCGTTCTCCTTTTAACACAACTCCTTCTTTGTCTTCAAAAGCCTACAAAAAACATTTCATTATTGCAGTCGTATATACACCAGCTTGTGTCTACTAGCCCTTCCAGTATTCTAAAAAGGGGAAGAACCTCTGTGACCATTCACACCAAAACTACTCCAGTACTCTAAAAAAAAAAGTTGGAATATCAAATACGTACTTTCTTAATTCAAAATTTTAGAAAGGAGCTGAGGAGGGTGGTAGCCCACACCTGTAATTCCAGCGACTCGGGAAGCGAAGGCAGAAGGATCAGGGATTCAAGACCGGCCCCTGCAAAACAGTGAGGCTCTCAGCAACTTAGTAAGACCCTGACTCAAAATTTAAAATGCTGGGGCTGGGACTGTGGCTCAGCAATAGCATGCTTGCCTGGCATGTGTGAGGCACTGGGTTGGATTCTCAGCACTGTGTATAAATAAATAGAGATCTATCAACAGCTAGAAGAATCTTTTTAAAAAAAAAAAAAAATTAAAAAGCTGAGTATTTACTCAATGGTAAAGCACCCCGGGTTAGATCCCCAGTACCACAAAAAAAAAAAGTGAAAGTCGGTTTTCCCACCTATATCCCTCATCTGCCCAGTTCCTCCCATAAAGATGGACACTGTTGTTTGGGTATCTGAGTTTCCTTCTCCTAGCACCCTCTTGGTGTTATTTCTGTATTTATATTTAAGCTAACTTTTTTGGCTTTATGTTTTTATTACACAGGTGATATTTAAATATTTAGGTTTTCATGGTGCAGCAAATCAGAAATATGGAATTCAGGGCAAAAACTTGAGGAATTGTTTCATTTCACCCCATTTACTTACCCACCATTTGGTGTGTACATTTTTCTCTATCCCATTTCTATTGGTTTTTTGTTTTGTTTTGTTTTTTGATTGTTTGTTTGTTCGTTTTCTTTTACCATAAAAGAAAAAGGAATCTGAGAGAACAAGGCTGCCTGTGAAGCCACCTCCAGTGGCCTCTCTAGTGGTGTCTGCCAGGAGAGCTTCAGGGGCAGTGGTCCTCCAGAGCTGCTGGGATTACAACCTTGGACCACCACACCAGGTGACCTGAAGTTCTTATTCTAGAAGGCCATGGATGTAATTCAAACAGTTCATAAACTTGGATGGGGGAAAAATGACATCTTTATTTTCTCCAATTCTCTAATTGATATTTAACACTTTCTTTCATTATAAATGAAGGTAACGATCTACAATAATCAGCAGCACCTGTGACTATCGCTTGTAGAAATCACAGTTCTTGCACATATCTCAGAAATATCATTTACATTCGTCACTACTTTGAAATCACTGTTATTAGACCTGCTGTTAGCACCTGTTATTTAATGCCTTCATAATGAAGTATGTACCTACCATATTTTAAAGTATCTTAGTAGCTATATTTCAACATAATTATTTTATTTTATACTTTTATTTTGTAATCTTATGCATTTCAAAACATTTGGAGAAAGGAGTTTATTGGCCTCAGTGACTGCCCCAGGGACTCAAGGTAGAGACCTTGGCACAAATACAGTCTGCCTACAAACATAGTGGTATTAGTGTGTGTTCCAGAAATTTGGTTTCTGAAGAGCCTGAGCTTTTTTAAATGTCTGACATTCTGAATTTATCTGATTCTTTACTTATGATGTTACTTCATCAGTTTCTATTTCTCTTGTATTTTTGTATAAATGTAGTTAGTTCTAAAGACTTGATTATGTCTAAGTGAAGTGTTTTTGACAAGAATAGTCTAAACATGGTGCTACACACTTCTCATAGCATCATATAAGAAGGCATATGAGCTGGGCACTATGGTGTACACCTGTAATCCCAGCAGCTGGGGAGGCTGAGGCAGGAGGACCAAAGCCAGCCTCAGCAATTTAGCAAGGCCCTAAGCAACTCAGGGAGACCCTGTCTTTAAATAAAATACAAAAAAGAGCTGGGGATGTAGCTTAGTGGTTGAGGGCCCCAGGGCTCCATTCCCCAGTATTTATCCCCCCTTTATGTTCAAAACACTAGAAAAACTATGGATAACAGGAACTTACCTCAACATTTTAAAAGCTATCTACGCTAAGCCTCAGGCCAGCATCATTCTAAATGGAGAAAAACTGAAGGCATTCCCTCTAAAATCTGGAACAAGACAGGGATGCCCTCTCTCACCACTTCTATTCAACATAGTCCTTGAAACACTGGCCAGAGCAATTAGACAGACAAAGAAATTAAAGGAATAACTATAGGAAAAGAAGAACTTAAACTAGCACTATTTGCTGATGATATGATTCTATACCTAGAAGACCCAAAAAACTCTACCAAGAAACTTCTAGAACTAGTAAATGAATTCAGCAAAGTGGCAGGACATAAAATCAACACCCATAAATCAAAGGCATTTTTGTCTTTTTTTAACTATTTTTTGAAGCTTGCCCTTGTTATGTTGTGCAGGCTACTCTTATTTTGATTAATTAATTTTTTAGTTTTCGGTGGACACACCATCTTTGTTTGTATGTGGTGCTGAGGATTGAACCCAGACCACACGCATGCCAGGTGAGCGCGCTACCGCTTGAGCCACATCCCCAACCCTCAAAGGCATTTTTGTATATCAGTGACAAGTCCTCTGAAAAGGAAATGAGGAAAACTACCCCATTCATAATATCCTCCAAAAAAAAAATAAATAAATAAAATACCTGGGAATCAACTTAACAAAAGAGGTAAAAGATCTATACAATGAAAACTACAGAAATAGAAGAAGAGAGAAATAGGAGAAGACCTTAGAAGATGGAAAGAGCCACCTTGCTCATGGATAGGCAGAATTAATATTGTTAAAATGACCATACTTCCAAAAGCACTATACAGGTTCAATGCAATTCCGATCAAAATCCCAATGGCATTCCTCATAGAAATAGCAAAAGCAATCATGAAATTCATCTGGAAAAATAAGAGACCCAGAATAACTAAAGCAACCTAAGCAGGAAGAGTGAAACAGGTGGTATTGCTATACCAGACCTTAAACTTTACTACAGAGCAATAGTAACAAAAACAGCACGGTATTTGGCACCAAAACAGGCTGGTAGACCAAAGGTACAGAATAAAGGACACAGAGACTAACCCACAAGATTACAACTACCTTATATTAGACAAAGGTGCCAAAAGCATGCACTGGAGAAAGGATAGCAACTTCAACAAGTGGTGCTGGGAAAACTGGAAATCCATATGCAACAAAATGAAATTGAATCCCTATCTCTCACCATGTAAAAAGTTAACTCAAAATGGATCAAGGATTAAACCAGAGGCTCTGCGTCTAATAGAAGAAAAAGTAGGCCCTAATCTCCATCACGTGGGGCTAGGCCCCAACTTCCTTAATAGGACGCCTATAGCACAAGAATGAAAACCAATAATCAACACATAGGATGAATTCAAACTAAAAAGTTTTTTCTCAGCAAAAGAAACAATATGTGATGTGAATAGGGAGCCTACATCCTAGGAACAAATTTTTACCCCTCACACATCAGATAGAGCTCTAATCTCTAGGATTTATAAAGAGCTGAACAAGATAAGCACCAAAAAATAATAATAATAATACAATCAACAAATGGACCAAATAACTGAACAGACACTTCTCAGAAGAGAATATACAATCAATCAACAAATATACGAAAAAATGCTCATCATCTCTAGCAATCAGAGAAATGCAAGTTAAAACTACTCTAAGATACCATCTCACTCCAGTAAGAATGGCAGCCATTATGAAGTCAAACAACAAGTGCTGGCGAGGATGCAGAGGAAAAGGCACACTCATACATTGCTGGTGGGACTGCAAATTGGTGCAGCCAATTTGGAAGCAGTATGGAGATTCCTTGGAAA